GTTTTTACAATTCAATTTTTTATCCAATCAATTGAAGAAAAAAAAAAAAAAATCTGATTCTGCAATGTCATTTTTGGTATACTTGATCTTCTTGCTAGCAGTTGTAGAAGCTGGCAGGAACAATTTACATCAAAACTCTAAAATCAACATAGCAGAGTCCAAGTTAGAAGGTAAAAATACATAATAAATTATTTCAACCGTTTCATTCACTCAATGTCATCACTTAAATCGATTTAACATATATTGTAATTGTTTGATTTAAAAGTTACAATAAAACTACCGGCGAATATTACTGTTCCTGGAGTCATAACATTTGGAGACTCGATAGTGGATAGTGGAAACAATAACAATCTTCGTACACTATTGAAATGTAACCATGCCCCTTACGGTCAAGATTTTCCGGGCAAAATTCCTACCGGAAGATTTACTGATGGAAGAGTTCCATCTGATATAGTTGGTTAGTATTATAATTTCATCTCTTTTTTTTTTTTTTTTGAAATCACTTGTTTCTTAAATAATATATTTTTTATAAACCAGAAGTTTTGGATCGAAATCCGTAATTTTTTGGATCGGGGATAAGAACGGGTTTGATCCCATTCCAACGGGAATGAACCGTGCTTTTGTTTTGGCTAGTAATCTAATGTGTCGCCATTGTATTTGTGATCAACGACATATATAATATCATCGTAACTTATGGGTTTTGTTGATGATAAATATATTGCAGCGGAAAGGTTAGGAATAGCAAAGACAATACCAGCATACTTAGATCCAAATCTGAAAGATGAGGATCTTTTGAAGGGTATAAATTTTGCTTCAGGGGGTTCTGGTTATGACCCATTAACTGCTAAAATAGTGGTAATTTTAATATAATTTTAGTTTCTTTAAAAAGATTTGGCTTCTCCTTCTACTTTCATAGTTGTTTGTTTAATTAATCTTTTTTTTTTTTTTGCGACGTTTCAGCAAGTGGTATCCTTAGAGCAACAATTAAAATATTTCGTAGAATACAAAGGAAAACTAAAAGAAATACTTGGCGAAGAAAAAGCAAATTTTATGGTGAAAAATAGTCTTTATCTCGTGGTTGCAAGCAGTAATGATCTTGCTCATACCTCTATGCCACGCTCCTTGACACATAACAGAACTATATATCCTGAATATTTGGCTGACTTGGCTTCTAAATTTATTAGAGTAAGTATATAAAATATGATTTAAGTCATACTCTAATGTTCTTCTCGATCAATTTATCATTTCACTTGTATCGATTTGGGATGCATGTGTAATGTTTATATCATATAGGAGTTATATGGACTTGGAGCCCGACGAATTGGAGTATTTAGTGCAGTACCAGTTGGATGTGTACCAGCAGGCAGAACAATTCATGGAAAATTCAAGCGGACTTGTTCAGACAAACTAAACCAAATGGCTCTTCAGTTCAACACAAAGCTATCTCCATTATTAGAGGGTTTACGAAAAGAGTTACCGGAGACCAAAATTGCGTTTATAGACGTGTATGACACTCTTAACGACATGATAGTAAATCCTAAAAACTATGGTAAGTATGAATACACATGCATTTTCTCCACAAGAAATACAATTGCTGAATTAGTTTAAAATGTTGCTTGAGGAGGATTCCATAACCTAAAAAACACTAAGCTAACATTCAACTTGGTCGTAGATCAAATATTTAAAACCTTCACGTATCCAAATTCGGATATAATATCTAGATTTAGTTATAAAACCGCAAGGTTTGGATATGCTCTAAAGAGTTAAGATATTTGCAAATACCTAGGTATACTTAATTCGCTATTACTAATTACTATCTAAACATGTTTTCTTGTTTCTTAGGATTTGAAGTATCAACCAGAGGATGTTGTGGAACAGGACTACTTGAAGTATTAATTTTGTGCAACAAAGTCAATCCCTTTACATGCAAAAATGCATCTTCTTACATATTTTGGGACAGTTATCATCCAACAGAAAGAGCTTACCAAATAATTGTTGACAAGTTGTTAGGCAAATACATTCCGCACCTAGTCTAAGATTCTTTTACAAAAAAAGTAGTCTAAGAGTCATTTATATAATCTACTAGGTATTTGTTACGCCCTATATGCATATATGAAACGTCCAAACAAAAAAAAACCCTATATAATAAGGCAAACATTATAGTATAATTTTAATTAGTCTGAATCGGTTTAATTTGTATGTTCCACATAATTTGTCAATTTTTTCTTTTTTTCTATAAAAGAATAAAATAGTTTATATTGGAGTTAATTTGTTTGAAATAGAAAATATTGTATTTTCTTTTATCCTCTTTCTATTAAAAGAGAAGTACAATTAGTGAAAAT